CCATGAAATGGAGAACCTGCTGATAATTTGGTGTAAGCAGTACTGTATCAAGGGGAAAAAAAGTTACTACATACTCTAATATTATAAAATGATTAATACCTAACCCAAATCTAGGTTCACACTTAATGATGAAACATACTTAATGTATTTTCCTAACCCCATTGTTAAGCAGAGACTCATTTTACATACTCATCTGTATAACATGAGAAATGGCTGTCAATGTGTAAACTAGTTTATAATATGCTCCAGGATTTCTAATTGATGCAAGCTACATATTTATTTATCAGAATTTTCTTCCTGGTATTTTAACTTATCTTATACTTAGATTAAAAATTAGCAATCTAGTTTGGGTTGGATATTTTCAAGGATTATGGTTTCTAATACATTAATGGCTAATAAAACCTTAAGTACTATTTCATGGGCCCAAGTAGTATTTTTCTGAACAAAAATATAATAAAAAAGGAATCCATTTATTCGAAATATAATTCTAACACATGTCTGTTTTTGTAATAAATTTATCTGTGTTAAATATTTTTGTTTATCTCACTTCTTGCTTTGAAAAATATCCTCAGGATAATACAGAGCCAATGAACACAAGTTTCTTACTATCTGACAATGTCTATGCCAAGGCTGTCATACCACCAACTGACAAAGTTTGTCTTTGGCTTGGGGTAATACTTTTTTTTTTTAATCACCTACTAGTATTAGTTCATTTTTTTCTTCATAGTCAAAAATGGTGGAAGTTGTTCAAAAGTTTTTAAAAAAATTGAATCATTTATTTCGAGCTAAAATTTTTGCAGTAAAAATAATATTCTTTTTTTTTTTAAATTTTAAATAAAATATTTACATTATTTGAACATAAAGTAGGAATTTATTTTTAAAATAAATATTGTATTGCTTATTTATGATTATAATTATGCATTATTTTAAAGAAATTACTTAAAAGAAAAGTTAATACTATTTTTTAAACTATTTAAAAAAAAATGTTTTTTTCATGTTCTGTAGTTTGCAGGGCATTAAGACTTAAGAGAAGAGGAAAAGTATTTGAAACCAGTGCCATTTAAAAAATCCTAGCCTACATTCCTCAAAACCTGTCATATTATAAAATAGATATTTACAGAGATACAATATGACTTATTGATACATATTGATGTAGCAAAATGATTAAATGATTTTTTTAAATAGGGCTCTGAATCACATCTTTTTTTAAAATGTAATTATCATGCTTATTCCTAGGCTAATGTTATGCTGGAGTATGAAATTAGTGAAGCTGATGATGTATTAATGAAGAATCTTGATGCTGCTAAGAAATCTCTTGTGCAGGTAGAAGATGACCTGCTCTATATTAGGGATCAAATGACTACTTTAGAAGTCAGTATCCTTTTGAATCATATGTGATGAATGTCTATATGTTTCTAAGCATAGCAGGGTTAACATTGGAATATAACTATAGAGTAATGTGTGCTAAACTATGTTAAGATAATAAGTGAAAACAAAGAAAAAAAAATCATAGTGCTGATAAAGTTAATCCTAATAACTCTTTTGAGTTTTTCTAGTATAAGTTTTCAGTATAAAGTTAAATTTGTTTTGTAAGAATATTTTGTTATAGAACCATTGACTTAACACAACTAAAGAATCAGCAAATGATGATTTGTTCCAAAATAGATATTGAAAATGATTGATACTAAGTATTATATCTATAGTCCATATATATTTTATTGGCAAAATGAGAAAACCATTCAGGCAAAGGAGGAATTGACTTTTCCATTTTGTACATTGCTTAGACATTCCATAGAATGACTAGATCTATGTCCTGTCATGTAGACAATGTTCTTATTGTTATCTAGGAAAATATTTATCTATAAAATTTAGATAAAAGTAAAGAAATAAAAAATTTGACAACAGGATATCTTTACATTTAAATACATTTGTATGTTTCTATACTATATATCCAATTTTCAGATTATCAATTAATTCTTTACGGAAATATTTTAAAATAGTACTACACAGGTCAAGTCAAATCATTTTGTTTAGCTTATTCTATGTATCTAACATTTTGCATATCTAGCAGGTAAAACATTTACAGAAGTACAAAGTAATTCAAAGTACTCAAAGTAGAAAGCTACTTATTATTTCTAAATAAATATTTACACAAATTTATAAAAATATAAATATCGAGATAACTATGTTCTAATCAGTTCCTTAAATTTTTTTTATTATGAAAGGATAATTGTTTTTTTTTTTTTAAAGTTTCTTCTACCTCTTATTCTGTTTGTATGCTTTTCTTATTAATGCTTATTATGCTCTTCATTAGTCTTAACTAATATCTTGTGGGTACATAAAACTTATGATTACCAAACACATGCATGTCTAAGGAAAACAAGCAAAATACACAAAAATACCTTAAAAAAACAAAAACGAAAGCTATATTAAGTGTATCAATTAGTTTATATCAGTCATTTAATTAAATTTGTAATAGATCTAAAGAATAGAAATATTTGTACAAATTGTTTTTGTTTAGCGCAATTTTACGCTTTTAGCTTTCTCAATATGCTATGATCCTATCACTTGTTGGACAAGTTGGAAAGGGGTATCTGGGTGATCATTTTTAAATGTATTTATATATAAAAAAAAGTCAATCAATTGAATTCGTGGGCTAAAGCCTTCTCAAGCTAACACGGTAACCACTCTAATTCAGCTTGTGACAAGTGACTTGCGCTGGAATTTGGATTTAAGTGAGGAGGATTCGCGCAACATGTCGACCTCACTCTCTCGCCCTAAAGCCCGTCCTTTTCCGGAAGCAAGATTTGGTCAAGACGTCCGGGGACAAGTTTGGGTGCAGTGGATGACCAGAGACTTTCTGTGTCTTGTCCTGCTCTTAAGTGCTCCACAGCACTGTGCTGGTACTTGCCTTTCTGTCCGATTAGTCTAGTTTTGTGACGTTACGCACAGGCCGCCAAGTCCAGACTTCACATGCTAGGTTTGACAGAACCTCAGTATACTGAGTGCCATGGACACGTCAGATACCCTCTACCTGGTCAGTCAAAGCCATTTCCGCTGCGCATGCTACAGCTTCTGGGAGCCACTGGTGAGAGTTGGGTACTGAGTGGGGACCAAGAGTGAGCCAAGCTACCCTCAAAAAGAGGGTACGACTGCCTGTCCACTAGAGGTGCTACCCCTCCTAGATACCTCATACACCCCAGCTTATACCACCACTTCAGTCAAGTACAATTTCTTTCCTTTGTTCGAGATACCAAACAAACTAATTGATTACCAATAATTGGTTAATTTTTTTTATTGATTCTTGTGTTGTAAAAAAATGATTGTGCAAAATTTCAGCTTGATCCTAGATTGGGTGTGGGAGAAATAACTTGTACAAACTTTTTACCAGACAGACAGTGAGTTGATAGCTTTGTAAAAATAAAAATGGTTTACAGAGGAGGCAAAAAAAATAACAGGACAATGTAAACTTTAAAAACTAGACTTGCAATGTATTTAATGTAACATCATAGGCTGTACAACAATATTAAGTATATCTTCAATAATATTTCTCAGATGATGACTTTTTACATTAGTTTATCATTAACGCAAGTAAATTTTTTTCCTGACATTTTCCCCAAGTCTTTAGTAATAAAAATGCCTCTCACTGGAGAATCTATTTGTATCTTTTCTTTACCTGGATGGAACTTAATGTTGAATAAATTAAACCAGAAAACACCTTATAATTTTTAAACAGATTTTGTTTCTTCTAGTAGGCCTAAAGCTCACACAGTTGATTATAAAGTGATGACACTTGAGGTTCTAATTTTTGGATACATACTTTTTAATTTCAACATTCTGTCTTTTCCTAAATGGCCATCTTAAATTGTCATATGTTTCAAATGATAATTTATCTAGATCATCACAACAAAAGTTTTCAGCAGCTTATAGATTTAGTCACATGGATTGTTCTTAGTCATAGTAACCTTGATTGCATATCATTCTTTTCTCCCATCTTTCTTACTAAGAAACATCTTCTGTGTTAACAATTTGCCTGGCATAATAAAGTTGTACACAGCACACTTTTTTAAGAATATGGCAAAATTGTTCCTATTACTGGCAAATAGAAATATTATTCCTAGAAACTTATAAATGTTAGTAAAATACTTAAAGCAGCATGAAACTAGAATCTATATATATATATACCAACAATAAATTACTCAAATATTGTACAGAAATGTTCACATATATCAGTCATATGTGCACAACTATAATGAAGAAAATTATTTTAAAATTTTCAAAAGGATATTGGTTATGTTATCTTAAATGCTAATAAAGAAAACTATAGATCTATATGACCAGCAAAGTTGAAATAATTGAACTTTTAAAGACCTCAGTTCAAGAATCAAGGACTTTGTGTGATAAATAGTTTTGAGTGATGTATATTAGGACATAAAATATGAAGCACAACTTGTGTGACTTTTTTTTTTTACTTTCTTTAATTTTATAATTAACAATTAATTAATAATTAATTATAAAATTTACACTGTCAATTTCTAATAATTCTCTTGAGAAAAAAATATATTGATCCTTGCAATCACTATATAAATGTCATCTGTTCAGGTAGTTAAAATACTCTTATTACTATTACTTATTACTATTATTATTTATTTACTTTGAAAATACAGCTTTCTATCCTTAATCCTTTTTAAGATATGGCCAGAGTATATAACTGGGACGTAAAGCGTCGACAAGCAGAAAAAAGTAACAAGTCCTAGTAACTTTTTTTTTAAGACATGATGATTTTGTATACTATACAATTTTTTTTTTTGCTACTTGATACTCTAAATGTATTAGTGATGTTTTCAATTGAGTAATTTATGCTTTGATATTGATGGTCCTTGATATTTGTGCACATGTTTGCCAAAACATAAAATCCCTCTTTTAACATTTTTGTTTAATTAAACTTTTCATTTTTAAATATGACTGCATTGATTTTACAAAATAAAGATATAAACTCAATGATTTTGATAGTTTTATTTGCATGTTTAACAAAATATTTTGAGGTAACATTACAAAGACAAAAAAAAAAGTGGAGCTCTGTAAAAATAAAAATTAATTAAAAAAGATAAATGATGAACATTATTAGAAACCACCTTAGTTTCAAAGCTAAAAAAAAACATAATTATGTGAAATTTACTCCCACCCCCATTTTCCCAATCTTCTATAACATTTAAACAAAATATTCAAGACAATCTAATGGACTAATTTTTTTTAGGGAGACTGAATTTTATCTCTTTGGATCATGGTCTCAACTAGCCTAATTTAAAAAAAAATCTGCTTTGAAGATGAATGAATTATTTGTGTTTATTATAAATATGGGGTTTAAAAAAAAATGGTTTCATTCTATATTTTGTAACATTAAGAATAGATCATTCAAACATATATGAACACAAAATTATGTTATGGTATGACATAATGTTTAAAAAAAACAACTTAGAAGTAATTTCTTTAATATCATTTATTTGTAAAACTATTAATTACCGGTACATGTATTAAAATTTTAAAAGTTAAAGCTTTTTGTTTAAAAAGGCTTTAAATCTCATGACACGAAAAACTGTATTTTGTGTTCACCTATAAAAAAACTTACTGTATTTTGTGTTCACCTATAAAAAAACTTAAACTACTTATTTATGAAGAAAACATTTTTAACCAAACATCCAATACTCCTTGTACAACAGCTTTCAAAAACTATGAAACAAAGACTTCACACAGTCATTCAGTTTTCAGGAACTTCAGGTTCTAATGCTGGTTCTAGTTGTTGAATCTGAAAGTACAAAATGAGATGAGAATTATTTTGTGGCTATTTAGTCACATACATACTGGATTTTCAAATATACTTGAATAGTTACACTCCATCAAATTAGTAGAACTCTCTATATATAAAAGTTTTAAAAAATGAAATAATGAACTATGGTGAACATATGTCCATGCAAAGCACTCATTAAAGGAGCAAAACATCCACTTCAGCATATCCCTTACACTTAACGAGATGTAACTTCTAGTTTCAATTTATCACTAATCAAAAGCTTTAAAAAATAATTATCTAATATACCAACTTATAGAGTGCTGACTGGACGTTTTGGACTACAGAAAAAGGTATTTTAAGATCTTATGAATAGAAATAATTATAGTAAAAAAGGGAGGGGTGGAATTTATTTTTACTAAAATTTTATTATCCAGCAATGCAGGTTTCATTTGATTAGAAGATAGAATGCACAAAAAAAAAAAAAAATAACTTTAAAAAATACCTTGGCTTTTAATTCATTATTCTCTTCCTGCAACAATTCACATTTCTGTCTTAGTTCTGAAATTTCTAGCTTTAAGGCTTCAACATCAGCTGTATCAGGTCCAGTAACATTAAGATGTTGTTTCAAAAAACTTATTTTCTTTCAGGAAAAAGATATTAAACATTATCTTTAAAATAAAAAAAAAAAAAAGATCAACAGACAGTGCATATTTAAAACACCCTCCCCCACAAATACTCTCTGGCCAGGGAATTTTAGTACCAATACTCCTTAGGTTGAAATATTTGATAGGTTGATAGGATCTGTATATATTATATGTTTTGTGTTAATTTTCAAGGTTTGATTGTGAATCTATGAAAACCATTTCTTAGAGAGTACCCAATACCCAAAAGGTACCTATGTACAAAATTTTTTGCTAATCCTTTTAGCAGCAAGAGATTTTTGATGAGTCAATCAATCAGTAAGTTGTATATTAGACACCAAGGGCATATTCCAGCAGAGCCAGAACAAAAAAAAAAAGGTTTGTAAAGGATACTCCAAAGCATTATTGGGTTTCTCTGGCTCTTCATAAAGTACAACTAAAACTGTAAACAGAAAGAAAAAACACTCATTATGTTATTGTTTAATTTGTTGTGAAGTAACAAATCATGAAATGTATACAAATTAGAAGTCAATATCCTGTGTTTATGTTTTAATATTCTAATAACATTTTATCATTCTAAAATATACAAAAAAAAATCATTTGTTGTTTAAAAATCCTACAAACCAATACTGCAAAACTTATATGATCAAAATGTAAATAACTGTGTATTTCAAGCAATGTCTCTAATAATTTGAAGCACATGTTGCTATGAAAAACACTAATGACTAGCAACAAAAGTATTTGAGCTGTTTACTTTACCTTTAGTGAGAGTGTCTAATACTCCTGCCTTTTCTAAATATTTCCTGAACTCTTCTCTCTTACAGTCTCCAGCCTGATGAAAAAGATCAAGATATTTTTAACAAATGAGATGCATTGTGATTTTTTTTAAAGGGGGTACTAGTGTATGTGGTACAGTACCGAACATGAAAAAAAAAAGAGAAATGTTAGGTATTGTTATTCTCAAAAGCTACCGTGTAACTTGACATTAAAAATATTAATATAATTAAAAATAAAAGAAGCATTCAAAATTTACTGTTCCATAGCAATTTTTTTTTTAAATTTACAATTTAAATTGGTAATTAAAATGAGTTTTTATATAAAATCTCACTGTAGTTACTAGTGTTAATATTTCATTATAATATGTTGGCATCATAGTCATGCAAATGGATTCTCCAGAATCTCCTTCTTCATAGCCACAAGAGAAAGTATTTAATAAGATGAGCCAAGGTCATTCTACAAATGAAGATTGCCAGCAATACTGGCCTCATAGATGACATAAATTGCAAATAATGAGCTGAGTAACTTCTTACTTATCATCTTTGAAAAACATTCAGCAGTATAGTAACTTTTCAGTTGAATTAGCAGCTAAAAGTAAGAAACTATGCATCATCTAAATGTCTACTATACAAATGTCAAGAATAGCAAATACAGTATAAATATAAGCCTAAGCAATAATTGTAGCCTTCTAATTATTTTAGAAACACCTTGAGTTTCTGCTTTACAACTCGGCTTTTCATTTTTCCTTTAGATTTTGCTTCTCAGGTCTATTGGTCAATATTAGCCAAACAGCAAGGTGGCTGATATATGTTGATTAGATTTAAATATTCTAGAATCTTAGAAAATCTAGTGGTTAATTCCAAGTCAGTTATGCATGGCTCCTGTTAATTTGAATAAAACACAAAATTTTCTGTGTGCTATTTTACTCGCACATAACAAGTCAGCTGTCACCTGTAGCACTCACTAATCTTTTAGTAGTTTTATGTTCTTATTTAATTTGTTAAAAAAATTACTTTTACTAAACCCTAATGCTTGTTTGATTTTATTTATTATTTCATCATTATTGAGACTCCATATCTTTTTAATTATTATTGCACCTTGTATTTTGAGACTGAGTAACTGTTTTACCATGAATAAGATAAACAGATCTAGATACTGTTATCTAGTCTTTAGTGTTTTGTTTTATTTGTTTTATAGCTTAAGATATATATATATATATATATCTATATATATGCTCTAGACCAAACATTCTGCAGGACAGCAGAAGTTGGAAAGAAGCAGGGTTCAAATACAGGAGCATTGTCTCGTGCTTGTGAAAACAGTATTAACAGAGTTTTCTATAAGTATACCATCTAGAGAGTCTTGGTTTAGATATAGGTATATGTCTATTTTATAATAAGGACCAGAAAATTCTACATTCTACTACGATATCCAGATTTAGACTTCCTAGACTTTAGAACTAAAATTCTATCTAATGGCTGGTACTGTAGATCATAAAGTACATCTATCTAGATATACCAGTACCGTACATAAATGGAGGCGCTGTGGCTAAGTTAAGGGCTAGGCTTATGAATTGGAAGATCCCTGGTTCAAATCCTGATGAAGACTGGGATTATTATTTCGGGATTTTTATGGGAAACTTTAAGTCCACTCAGCTCTAATGGGGGTACCTGACATTTGTGGGAAAAAGTAAAGGTGGTTGTTCATTTTTCTGACCCCAAGACACCCTCATTAACCATGTCCACAGAAAAGATGACCTTTACATCATCTATCCTATAGACTACGTGGTCTGAAAGCGGAACATAACTTTTTTTTTTGTATATAAATATTAAACAATTTTATAATACTGTATTATATTTAGAGTCTAGTAGTTTATTAAATATTATTATTTATTAAATTATAAGTACCAGGTGAACTAGCCTCGCTCTGTTAAATGATTTGTTAGCTTGTTGGGGAAGATTTAATATTTTCATGAACTCCTATTTCTCATGTACTCATTTTCATCTTTCCATTATAAATTGTTTACTAAACACTGTAGATCTAGGTGGCTAATACTTTTGGTGTAAATGCTATTAGACTTTACATAAGATGATGCGCAAATGAATATTTAGCCTACATAAGGTCAAATAATTCATTAAAATGCTCAGGTTTAGATTGATCATCTCATCACTGCCTGTGGTCCTGTTTTGGGCATAGACCACTAACCAGCATCCTCTAGGCGTCTCAGTTCTGGGCAAATCTCTACAACTGTTAATTGTTCCATGTCTCTCCCATCTGTTTGGCATTTCCTTCCAAATCATATTTTCATATATTTCTGGGCCATCACCTCTTTCTCTTTCCTTTCATTTGGGGGATGCGGGTTATTAATAATTTAATAGACTACTAGACTTATTTATTTATCTATCTAGTAATCTAGGTAGATCTACTCTTTACTTACACTGTCACTATGATCTAAAGTAGAGCCAATTGGATAGAGTTCTAGATATACAATATATATTAATTTACTAATTACTAACATATCAATTTTTTAATAACCTCTATCCATTAAAAAAAAGGCATTATTATTATAGAACAGAACTAGTCTAGATTTAGACTGACTAGAGTATTCTTCAACTATATTAAAAATACAATACTATACATGATACTCTATTACGTTACCTTATCTTATATAATACAGACGTTACTTCAAAAAAGAAGATTACGTCCTACGCGTCATGCATTTAGTCATGCATATTAACCAATGACTTAAATTCTGCCAAGTCACTGGTTTTCCTGGCTAGCTCAGGCAACCCATTCCATGCTCTAATAGCACTAGGGAAGAAGGAGTATTTGTACAAATTTGTCCTAGCATATGGGACGAGGAATGTGCCTTTACCTTTGTGTCTTTCGGAGTATTTTATTAAATTTTGTTTTTGTATTTGAAGATTATGGTTCAGTGTTTTATGTATAATTGCTACTTAACTTTTGAGTCTTCTGTCCTGAAGGCTTTCTAAATTTAGTGATTTTACTAAGTCAAAGGTGAATATTCATTTGTTATGAATCTCACTGCTCTATTTAGTGTCTGTTCCAGTTTCTTAATGTTTTCTTGAGTTGAGGGGTCACAAACGGAGGATGCATATTCTATTATTGGCCTAACCAAGGTTTTACTACTATTACTAGAACTAGATCTGATCTAGTATCATCTAGATTAGGACTGGAGTAGAAATTAACTAGAGATAATAGTTAGAATTAACTGGTGGGTGTGGGACGCTGATGTACAGGATTACCCTATAACTATAATAAATCTATAGTCATAGTCTATACAGAATATTATAGAACTATTACTATATTGCACTATAACCTATATCATAGTATCTAGATCTTTATTACAAGACAGAAGACTAATAAATTAACTAGATTCAAAGTGTGTGTTTTACATTCCCATCATTTGTCATGAT